ATGTTTGCCTCAGTGTGGACTTAAGTCCCCAGGTGTGTTTGTGTGCTATACCTTAGTTCTAAGCAAACAAAAGGTTTGATCCTCCTTAAAGCAAATGATCAGGTAGGCGACCTTTGACCTACAAAACAGTTCCCTTTGAGGAGTGACTTTGGAGATGGAGGGGCAGTGGAGGGGGTTGGTTGTTTCTCCTGTGGGAAAGGAAACATCTAGTAGTACTCTCAGTCACTGGGGAAAGGAAGCTTAGGTGAGAACCAGACATCTGAGAAGGCTCTTGGTTTGCATCCATAAACATTTCTGGCCCAGAGCCGTAATCCCTCCTGCTGATGTAATTAGATCCCTTAGTTGCGTGATGAAAACTGAACCCAGGCTATTGTGATTATGGTCACTGCTACCTGTTGCCAACCAGTGACAGTTGCACCTGTCAAGCTAGCCAGCTTCCTGCATACCTAGGGCACTTGCAGCCACCTGCACCTGAAGTCCTGTCCTTGTGCAGATAGCTCGGTCATTAACCGTTGAAAGGGGAAGTTCGGGATTTTCTGGTGAAGGTCATTGCTTTTACAGCAGTGATTAAGCTGTATGCAAAGCACAGGTCCAGACACAGTGGATGGTATAGAGATATACTGGGTCTTAAAGGAGTTTACAGTCTAGCAGGGGAGACAGAATGCTCATCACTCATTGGACAAGGAAATGAACTAAGAAAGATGATTAAAGAAGGGTTAGTTGTGGGCTGCATTTGGAGTAAGGGTTTGTACAGTAGAATGCTAGTTTGGAATTACACGAGCCTGCAAGCAGGTAAACCTCTAGGTCAGGAGGTATCTTTAAGTGATAATAAGTGTTCCTCAGGTATTTGTGAGGTTTTGTTCTTGGAGTGGCAGTGAGGGATGGCAATGTGGGGGGGGTGTAGATGGTCTCTGAAAAACTGACAATTCTTGGTTAGGAGTTATGGACAGGGGTCCTATAACTTAGTATTCAAAAGGGCACTTTTGAGAGTGAAAGGAGTGTTTTTAATAGTCACACCAGAACAACAGTTGTAAACCAGAGCTAACCAAGCATAAAGGAGCCCTGGTGGTACAGTGGGTTACAAGTGGGCTGCTGACCTCAAGGTCAGTGGTTCAAACCCACCAGCGACTCTTTGGGAGAAAGACGAGACGTCAGCTCTTATACAGATTTAAGTTTTGGAAACCTTAAGGAGTTCTACTCTGCCCTATGGGTCACTATGAGTTGGAACCAACTCGAGGGCAGTGAGTTTGATGTTTGGAGGATAACCAGCCTTGTGGTCACCCTGCTGATAGGCACTTGGTAATTATAAAAAGGAATATGCAATAAAAAATAAAAAGGAATTGATTCAGGGATCTGTGGACCTACAGAGCTGATTTAGAAAAGAGATTTCTACACAATTGAATCTCTAGACTAATAGCTGAAAAGTTAGTGGTTCAAAGCCACACAGAGGCACCTCAGAAGACAGACCTAGTGATCGCTTCCAAAAGGTCACAGTCTTGAAACCCGTATGGAGCAGTCCTACTCTAGCATACATGGGGTTGTGATGAATCAGAATCAATTCAGTGACAACTAACAATAACAAACTACAAGACTCAATTCAGGGTCAAAACATGTGTCAGGTGACCCACCTGGACACGCTGGTCAAGAACCACTGGGGCCTCTGGTCTCTCTTTACACATTTCCAACTCAGAGAGACTGCTTAGGAGACCCAATTTTCAATAAAGACCAGTACTGTTCACCTCTCCAGTTAGAATGCCTGAAAGAGTTTCACCTACTAAGTATTGACAAAAAAGCTACTTACAAATGAAACACATTATGAGGGATACTCAAAAAGTTCATGGAAAAATTACATTATATCTTTTCATTCCAATTTCTGTGAACTTTTAGAAACCCCCTGTTTATGTGGTGTCCCTGACCTCATACATAGTTCCTCTATGTGGCAACCAATTCCACATACGTTTGTTTTGTTTTTTAATTGCGATATCAAAGTCCCGTTCCCTTATCTATAAACTGCTGGCCTCTCTTTTATAGCAATTCTTTCCAAAGAGGAACTCATTCCAAAAATTCCTCATAGTGATTTCATAGTATAAAAAATGATGTAGATAATGTTCTCTACAATATTAGCTCTTTTAAGCAAATTATTGTTTGTCTTGGTTTCTGAGTGTGGCTATAGCAGAAATACCACAAGTACATGACTTTCAAGAATATAAATTATTTCTCGGTTCCGTAGTGGTTACGAATCGGGCTGCGAACCGCAAGGTCAGCAGTTCGAAACTACCAGCTGCTCCGCGGGAGAAAGATGTGGCGTTCTGCTCCCGTAAAGATTAACAGCCTCGGAAACCCTGTGCAGGGTCGCTATGAATCGGAACCGACTCCACGGCACACAACAACAACAAGAGACTAAAAGTCCCCAATCAGGACCTCCGCCATGTAAATTCCTTCCTTATCAGTAGGCCCAGACTTTCTTAGGTTTCTTGGTGATCCTCACAGAGTAATACAAATGGTTAAGCACTTGACAACTAGTCAAGGGGTTGGTGAGTGGTTCAAACACGCCCCCTCCCCCAGAAGCCTGGTGATCTGCTCATAAAATGTCACATGGGACAGTTCTACTCTGACACAAATGGGGTCACTGTGAGTCAGAAATGCCTGACAGCAATTAACGACAACAACTGATGAGAAGAAAGAATATGTGAAGAAGTAGACGACTTTGAAAATGTGTCTCTGTATCTGTATCTGTATCTGTAACATAAAGCAGAAGTGATAGGATTAGGATCCACCTTACTCTGGTGTGGCCTCACTGATTATTGATTACAATGTATTATATTATGGAAGCTCATTACTTTACATCCCATCCACAGGTTATAGGGGTTAGGATTCCAAAACCTATTTTGAGAGGACACAATTGAATCCATAATCATAATTATCCAAAATATTAACATTTAATGACAAAATTATTTGATGTGAGAGGAGAGTCCTTGGTACCTAGCAACTTTACCCCTATTTTCTGCTAGAAGGAAGGTCATAGAGTGATAGAATTTGCTTGCTAAAATTAAACTTATTTTTCTGTCACTTGCTCCAACCTATGATCTTCTTAAGGCTATAAATTGCCTTGTTAACATATAATATTATGAACCCTAGGTTTAAACAAACTTGTAGGTTTCTCATAAATGATGATGGTTAAATGAAAAACAACTTGGTCCTAGCCTCACCTTCAAAACAGCTTTTCCTTTGTGATTTTTATTTATAGGAAAGCATATTCCTCCCAGGCTACCTGAGGCAACTGGGAGCCCGGCTTCCGCCTTCCCTTCCTTTCCCATCCCCTTGGGTCAGTTTGACTGTTTTGAGTCAGCCTCTGACTTATCTTGTGATCTCTGAGTCCATCTGCTAAGAGAGGGGATGACTGTCTTAGTTATATAGTGCTGTTATAACAGAAATACCACAAGTAGATGATTTTATCAACCAGAAATTTTTTTGCTTACAGTTTTAGGAGGCTAGAAGTCCAAATTCAGAGGGCAGGTTCTAGGGAAAGGCTTTCTTTCTGTCAGCTTAGCTCTGAGGAAAGCCCCTTTGTCTCAGCACCTGCTAGCCCAATATTCCTTTTGTTGTTAAGTGTTGTTAAGTGCAGTGAAGTCAATTGTGACCCTGTATAGGCTTTCCAAGAAGCAGCGTGTGAGCTTGAACACTGACCTTGCAGTTCAAAGAGCTTTGCAGTCTGGTGCATTAGCCCACAGTGCCACACCAGGACTCCCAATATTCCTTGGAGGTCTCCAAATGTCTGGACATCACTCTTCCCCTAGATCTAGGAGCTTCACAATATAAAGACTCCAGGTCCAAAGGACACACTCCATTCGTGGCTTTTCTGTCTTGGTGTTAGTAGGTCTCTCTGAGCTCAGCTCACTTCTCTCTCCTTTTATATCTCAAGAGATTGACTCAAGATTAAACTTAATCCTATAGATTGCATCTGGCATCATTAACAATATAGAAGTCAGGATTTATAACACATAGAATAATTACATCATATCAAAGCTGATCACGTCACATCATGTCATGTGATCTGCATCATGTTAGATCTCATCATGGAGAGGATAACTACACCTTAACTGCTAAACCACTGAGAATCCTGGTCAAACGAACTAAGTAGACCTTAGCTATCACAGATGATCAAGATTCTCACTGGGTCCTGCAGGCCCTAACATTATTGCTCTGTACTGATTTTATGGAAAATAGTTTCTATGCTTCCAGTTTTCTTCATTGTTGTCAAATGAAAATAGTTGTTTCAGTAGAAGAGATGCTACCCAGAGTCCTACAGGTCTTTCCAAGAGGCCCCTACTTTCTAGAAATTCACTGAGATTCACCAGCCCCTCAAGAAAATTATTAACACATTGTTCTAACTTAAGATGGGATGTGGATTAAATGTTGACATCACCTAGTTCTACCTAATGATTGTCTCATCTTGTCCCTTAAAAATCAAAATGGGAAAATCCACTTTTTTGTGATGTTAAATCAGAGTTCTAGCTGGCAGACCACACTGTGTATGTGTGGGAGAGGGTTATGGTGGTTGAGTATGTATGTAGGTGTCAGAAAAGGCATGCAGTAAGATAAATTTGCAACCAATGTAAATATAGGGAAATATAAAGGCAATTATGTGCCCTGTATAGTGCTTTCTGGTATGGTACTATGGGTTAATGCACTGGACTGCAAAGTCGTTTGAATCACAAGGCTGGTGGTTCAAGCTCACCAATTGCTCCTTGGAAACTATACAGGGTCACTATGTGTCAGAACCAACTCGACAGCACTTAACAATAGTAACAATAGGGTTTCTGGGACTGTAAATTTTTATTAGAACAGAAACCCTCATCTTTCTCCTGTGGAGCAGCTGGTAGATTAGAACTGCTGACCTTGAGGTTAACAGTCCAGCTCGTAACCACTATGCTACCAAGGCTCTTCAATGTATAAGTACAGAGTTATAGTCTCAAATTCCTTCTTTCCCTTTACTACAGAAACCAAATGATCGTGATCATAAAGTGAGATTGGCACTTGGAAATGGCTTGCGAGGAGATGTGTGGAGAGAATTCGTCAAGAGATTTGGAGACATTCATATTTATGAGTTCTATGCTTCCACTGAAGGGAACATTGGCTTTGTGAATTACACAAGAAAAGTCGGTGCTATTGGAAGAGTAAACTACCTCCAGAGAGTAAGTAAAATGAAAAATGAGAGTATTTGGGGGGCCAGTTTTCATAATACAGAGGTTTCTTAAAAGCTACTTCATAATGATGTGATTATTAGAATTTGGGAGCTGTGGAGCTGTGGTTCTTCCATCTGATGCTATCTCTGGTAGTATCACCAAGAGAGGTTGTGCTCATTTCCTGTAGTAATGATCTCAAAAAGTCAGGGTCCTCCAGTATGAAAATTGTAATTAATTTGTGTTCGTCACAAGCCCTTATGCCTTCATTGTGATCTAACTAACACACTGACTGAAAAGTGCGTTTCAGTCAGTTCCAACTCATAACCTTTGCCATCTGCAAATTATTTGAAGTCTTCTTGATTCCATTAATATTTGTACATGATAAAAATCTACTATGTTCTTTAAAGATCCCAGGTGGCACAATGGTTAAGCACTCGCTGCTAATCAAAAGGTTGGTGGTTTGAATCCATCAGCTGCTCTGAAAGAGGAATGTGTGGCAGCTTGCTTCCATAAAGAGTGCAGTCATGGAAACTCTATGGGACAATTCTGTCCTCTAGAGGAACTGTGGGTCAGATTCAACTCAACAGTAGGAGACTGGGTCTTATGTTTCTTAGACCTGTGTTTCAGCATTTAAAGTTTGCTGTGAACTGTGATATGTAGTATTTTCCCTTAGTGGTGGTTGTTGTTAAGTTCTGTTGAGTTGGTTCTAACTCATAGTGACCCCATATAGGGTTTCCAAGGAGTGACTGGTGAGTTTGAACCGCTACCTTGCAGTCGAGTGCTTATCCTATAGCACCACCCCAGGACTCCTGTATCATAATCGCCTGGGAGCTTTTTATACGTACAGGTGCAGGCCCCAACTCCTTGAGTTTTGGATGCAGTTGCTCTCAGGGCTTCAAGCCAGTTCACTCCAAGTGATACTTATATTGGGGATATTGTTCAAATACAGATTCTGATTCATTATATCTCGAAGAGATGAGATTTTTGTTCTAAACCAAAGTGAGAACCTTAGGAGCTGGTGCTGTATGTTACCAGTTCTTTACTTTCTCATCATTCTCTGCCATGTTTTATTGTCAGTTTTTCTACTTTAAACAAAGCCATATATATTTTTTAACTTTTAGAAAAGAAGACACTGATAATTAATGTTGAAAGAACCATTAGTTACTACTCAGAAATTTTTGACATTCTTGCAGATAAGCAAGATCTATATTTGTTGGCCATGAATGCTCCTTATTTTTAATGAAGCTATTTGCTACTATTTATGAAAGCATATGATTCGTTAAGGAACCGTAGTGGTACAATTCCCTGGGCTATAAACTGAGAGGTTGGCAGCTCTTCAAACCCACCAGACTCTCGAGGGAGAAAAGGCCTGGCATTCTGCACCCATACAGATTACAGCCTAGGAAACCCTATGGGGCAGTCCTACTCTGTCACATGGAGTTTCTGTGCGTCGGGCTCCACTCAAGAGGACCCAGCAGTTGGCTAGCTTACAACATGAACTTGAACGTGCATTTTGAATTAGCACAGTAATCTGACTAATTATTGAATCCAAATTACTGTTGTATTTAAAATTTTCAATCAGGAAAATAATATACTTATTGTTCTAACTGAATTAATTAAATGTTCATTACTATGTCGTTAATTATAGGACCTACTAAATATAAGGGCGTTTTAGCAATTTTTACTGTCATGGGAATAAAATACTTATACCATTGATCCTTAAATATATTAGAGATAAGCATGATGGGAAACTTTGGGGATGGCTAATGGTGATGGCTAATGGTGATGAACATAATTAGTCACGGAATAGTTTGTATGATATTGTAGAAATGACTAATGTTTTGTAGCCTATATATTTACCACAATTTTTAAAAGTCTTTTCAGGAAAATAAAACACACACACACACACATATGAGTGCAAGTCAAAAAGTATTACTACAAAATCATGGAAATGTTTATTAAATAATAATATCAAACTGTGAAGCTATTGTTTCTCAATATCTATTCCATCTGGGTCTACACACTTGTGAAGCTGGTGTTTCCATCTCTCTAACCCTTCTCTGAAGTGTTCTGTGCTCCTCAATTCACACCACGTCAAAATGGTGGTTTGGGCGTCCTCTAAGGACTCATATCATCTTCCTTTTAAACATTTTTTGAATTTGGGGAACAAAAGGAAGTCTTAAGGGGCAAGACCAGGACTTTAGGGTGGATGGGATAAGGTTTCCCAATGAAGCTCTCATAGGACAGCCTGTACTAGCCTCCAAGAATGAGCAGGTACAATGTTGTTTATTGGTCCAGTAGTGCGGATTTTTGTTTTCATTACATAGAGATGCAATGCATTCAGAAGGCTGTGATCTTTGATCTTCATCAGTAAATATTTTAAGTCCTTTTCACTTTCAGCAAGCAAGGTTGTATCATCTGCATATTGCAAGTTGTTAATGATTCTTCCTCCAATCCTGATGCCACTTTTTTCTTCATAGAACCCAGCTTCTCAGATTATTTGCTTAGCATACAGAGTGAATAAGCACGGTGAAAAAATACAACCCTTTTGCACACCTTTCTTAATTTTAAACCTTTCAGTGTTCCCATACCCTGTGCGAACAACTGCCTCTTGGTCCACGTACAGATTCCTCATGAGCACAATTAAGTGTTACAGAGTACTCAGACTTTGCAATATTGTCCGTAGCTTGTCATAATACACAAAATTAAAATTAGTAATCAGTATCATATTAATTTTTTTAAGTGTTGAAGAGCAAAAATGTCAGCTTGAGGATTAAGGTGTGCCTGACCCAAGCCATGGTATTTTCAATAACCTCATATGCATGCGAAAGCTGGATAGTGAATAAAGAAGACCGTAGAAGAATTGATGCTTTTGAGTTATGGTGTTGGAGGAGAATATTGAAAGTGCCATGGGCTGCCAAAAGAACCAACAGATCTGAGTTGGAAGAAGTGCAGCCAGAGTGCTCCTTGGAGGCCAAGATAGCCAAACTTCGTCTCTCATACTTTGGACATATTGTTAGGAGGGACCAGTCGCTGGAGAAGGATATCATGTTTGGTAAGGTGGAGGGTCAGAGAAAAAGAGGAAGAACCCCAACAAGATGGATTGGCCAAGTGGCAGCATCGATGGACTCAAGCAAGGAAACAGTAGTGAGGTTGGCCCAGGATCAGGCAGTGTTTCGTTCTGCTGTGCATAAAGTTGCTATGAGGTGGTACCGACTCGATGGCATCTAACAACAACATAGTAATTAGTAATTAGTATCATATTAATGGAGTCCTGGTGTGGTGCTGTGGGTTAATGCATTGACTGCAAAGCCATTTGAACTACAAAGTCTGTAGTTCAAGCTCACCAGTCGCTCCTTGGAAAACTTATACAAGGTTATTATGGTCAGAACTGACTCAATGGCACTTAACAACAACAATATCATATTAATATAAAGATATAAAAAATCCATAAATGGTATTATATTAATATAAGGTTACATACATTTTTAAAAACTCATTTCTGGTATAGTCACCAAAAGACATGTACAAGAATGTACCTAGAAACTTTATAAATACTTCCAAACTAGAAAGAATCCAAGTGCCCATTAACAGGAGAATAGATATATAAGTTGTGTTTTATTCATATAAGGGAAAAATTGCATGACAACAAAAACTAACAAATCACTGATACACACCAGCATGAATATCACAGACACTCTTTAGGGTAAGCAAATATTTCTCATCTAGATCTGGGTGTTAGTCATATGGGTGCATGTTGTTGTTGTTAAGTGCCGTCAAGTCAGTTCTGACTCATAGCAAGCCTTTATAGGGTTTCCGAGGAGCAGTTGGTAGATTTGAACCGCCGGCCTTTCAGTTAGCAGTCCAGTATTTATCCTACAGCACCACACCAGTATTCAACATGAGTTTATACAGCTATAAAATTGAAACTGCACACTTATGACTAGTGTAAATTATATACCTCATTGTATATCTGTTATACCATAATAAAAATAAAATATTGTGACAGAATTGACCCTCAAAATTAAGTATTTTAATTTTGCTAGAAAGTCGTGTCTTATGAGCTGATAAAATACGATGTGGAGAAAGATGAACCTGTCCGAGATGGAAATGGATATTGCATCAAAGTTTCCAAAGGTACAGTGCCTTTTCTTACTTTAGCCAAGTGCCTTTTAAGAACTAACATTTAATACATGATAAATTTCTCAGAAGAGAAAAAAAGAGCTTAGTGCCCTCATAAATTCTTACAGAATTGCCAAAAAGTGTCAATTTACCATTACATGTAACATAATTATGATTTTTAACCTAATGAACAATTTCTTACTTTTGAGGTAACCCGTCTCCTGAAAGGAACATGTAATTATGGCTACAAAACTATAGTTAGCTTTAGGTGATGTTGGCTTTTTAACTCAAAGTGCTGTGTATTTGTCTAAGCTATGTGTAAATAGTTATTCAGTCAAAAGTTAGTTTTCAAAGAATTACAATTGTGTGGTCATATAAGTAATGTGTTGTGTGTATGTTTGATATATATGTATGTTTAATGCACATGCATATTCAGTGCATACTTACATGTGCTTGGAAAAGGATTCTTCCTGCCGCCAGTTTACTGCCAGTGGGCTATTCTCAGCTTAAGAGAAGATTGGCAATAAGACTTCCCTACTTCCAGCACATAAAATAATAACTTCTTTTCTGGTGTCAGGTGAAGTCGGACTCCTAGTTTGCAGAATCACACGACTTACACCGTTTAGTGGCTATGCTGGAGGAAAGACTCAGACAGAGAAGAAAAAACTGAGAGATGTCTTTAAGAAAGGAGACCTTTATTTCAACAGTGGAGATCTCCTAATGATTGACCGTGACAATTTCATCTACTTCCACGACAGAGTTGGAGATACCTTCCGGTTGGTTTCTCTGAGTTGTTTGTTGTTATTGGCTGCCATCAAGTCTGTCCCCAACTCATGGGGACTCCATGCACTAAGGAATGAAACGTTGCCCTGTCCTCTGTAGTTCTACTCTGAAACACATGGACTTACCTTGAGTCAGTTGACTCAAAACAGCAATGGGAATGCCTTTGCTATTATTCTTCCACCAATGATGCCTTCTCCATGACTGAGTTGGGGAACTGGGGATCCAAGATGGGGAAGACGTGAGCAGCAGGGTCTGGAGGAAACACTTGTTCTCTGTCAGTGCATCTTGGGCCAGAAAGTAAGAAGGACTCAGCTAACCACACTGTCTTTTCTCCTAGGTGGAAAGGGGAAAACGTGGCCACCACTGAAGTCGCTGACACAGTAGGACTGGTTGATTTTGTCCAAGAAGTTAATGTTTACGGAGTGCCCGTGCCAGGTATACATAAAATAGATCAGTCCATGCCTAAAACATAGCTCTGGTGTGGCGCTGTAGGATCAACACTGGACTGCTAAACACAAGGTCGACTGTTCAAACCCAACAGCCACACTTCAGAAACTCTATATAGGGTTGCTATGAGTCAGAACTGACTCAACGGTACTTAACAACAACATGCCTAAAACAGTACAGAAATTGAAGGTAAATTTAACTCTAGGGCAGAATTTGGCATTTTCTTTCTCCTGCTACCAAAAACCAACCCAAACCCACAACGATCAAGTCAGTTCTGACTCATGGTGATCCTATATAGGGCTTCTTAGGCTGTAAATCTTTACAAGAAGAACAGAAAGCCTCATCTTTCTCCTGTGTAGCTGCTGGTAGGTTTGAATTATCAACCTTGGTGTTAGCCTGCTGGTGGTGGTGGTTATGTACCATGGAGTCGTAACCAACTCATAGCGACCCTGTACAGGGTTTCCGAGGTTGTAAATCTTTACGGGAGCAGAAAGCCTCATCCTTCTCCCGTGGAACAACTGGTAGCTTCAAACTGCTGACCTTGCGGTTCACAGCCCGATTCGTAACCACTACGCTCTAAAACTCTTACCGGAGAGCAAGGAGCCATTATAAACACCAGGTTAGTACATCTGAACCTTGTCTGTGGCTTAGCTCCCCAGCTGTTCTTGGGCTATCAGGAAAACCAAGTCTTCTTCTTGATGCAGGTTCTTCAATTTGTTTGACAAAAAGCATGCATCAAACTTGACAGCTGGGTGATGGTATCTAACCTCAGAACCTGGAGGCACAAATAAGAGCGAATGCTATTGCTGGGATAAAAACCAAGAGGACAATGATGCCCAGACTAATTTTTTTACGACTCAGCCCACCCTACTAAGTGACAATCTCAGCCCACCCCACTAAGTTTCAGAACCAACACACAGACTTAGCACTAAGGTTTTGATAGCTTCTGCTGTATCTGCTTCTGCCAAGATCCCAGCTCTTGCTAGCTATTCCACTTCAGGAAAATCACTAAAGAGAGAGATTATGCCTGCCCTGCCCATTATATGGTAAGAGAACTGGTTCATTTTAATTGCATAAATACTGCACATATATAAGTATTCGTAAATTACCATAATAAGAAATCACTTTAATTCTAAATGCCAGAAGATTGAACCCTCTATACTGATGTCCTAATATAAAGTGATGAGGTTTTGCTACTGAGTGATGTTGAGTTGGTTCCAACTCATAACAACTCTATGTACAACAGAACACTGCACTGCTCGGTCAGTAAGGTGCCTTTGTTGCTAAGTGCCCTGGAGTTGGTTTCAACTCATAAAGACCCCATATAGGGTTTCTGAGGAGTATCTGGTAGGTTTGAACTGCCGACCTTGCAGTTAAAAATCCAGTGCTTATCCTACAGTGCCACACCAAGACTCCCCATAAGGTAAAATTCTAAAATTCCTTTTTTTTGAACTGTGGCATTTTACGTGACTTCATGTTGTATTTTGACTTCTCTTATATAAATAGAAAGTATATTGCCTGTTTCTCTCTAACTGTCACAGTGACAAAATAGGAAGTATAACAACTCAAGCCACAGGTTTGAGGGGGACTCAGGACAATTCTCTTGTTGGTCCTGAAGAGAATCCATGGAGACCTTCAGCTAAATTCACGCCTGTCCACGTCATGGTTGTCAGTCAATAAAACAAGCTGAGCCCTCAAAGACCCCTCTTAGGCTGTCAGGAATATTGAATACATGTCTAAATGCTGAACTTTATACAGGTAACAAAATAAAAAAGTGAGTATGCGAAGGAGAGAGGACCTGAAAATATGGAATGGAAGAACCAAGCTATAGAGCCCAGTGACCCTCCAAGTGGAGACACAGACTAGCAGCTTCACCTGAAAACTTGTTTAAAATACATTTTCTTAGGCCCACAGCAGACCTACTCTATCAGGATCTCTGAGATGGGACCCAAGAATCTGTGTGAACACCTTCAAGTAATTCATAACAAAATTAAAGTCTGATTTGGGGTGAGGGATGGTAGTTACACAACATCATAAATAGTAAATGCTATTGCACTATGGATTTTTAAATGAAAAAATGAATTTTGTGTTATACGTATTTTACATAATTTTAAAACAAAAATACTGACGTCTGAGAAGCACTGAAGACTAGTGCTTCAGAAAATCTGACTGGTCATCAGAACCATCTGAGAAAGAGAATCCATGGAGACCTTCAGCTAAATTCATGCCTGTCCACATCAGGATCGTCAGTCATTAAACCAAGCTGAGCCCTTGAAGACCCCTTAGAGGCTGTCGGGAATGTTGAATTCACGTCTAAATGCTCAACTTTATAAAGGTAACGAAACAAAAAAGGCCTGGAACTAATAGGTCAGAATTTCTGGCATTTGACTTAGGAGCTGCATGTCTGTTCCAACCAAGAAGAAGTGGCTAATGACTTCCAAATTATGGGAGTCAGTCAAGTAGAACAAGAAGAAATGTACTCCACCTTGCTCCAGAATCACAATAAAAACTAATGGGTAGAAATGACCAGGAAATTCATTTTAGTCTGACAACTTTCCTGTAAACAGAGGGGCCCACAAGAGAATGGCCTTTCCTGAGGTAAGAGTGCCCCACCATCTGGGGCTTGTAAAAAGAATGTCTATGTGGACCCTGTAAGAGTTCTTGTATCTATGAACAATTAAAGAGGAATTCTCACTCACTCTGTTCTGACTCTGTGATTGTCAGCCAAGGTTGTTGCTGTTTGGCCTTCCATCCATGGAGACCATTCTAGAAAAGTAATTGGTCTACCTAGAGAAAGGCCTTAGTCCCCTGAAGCTAAACAAGGCCTTCATAGATCTCAACTTTGAACCAGGAATGAACTTGTAGGTTTGGGTCTAGAAAAGAAGTAAGTTGACTTTTTCTAGATATCACTCCAAAACTACCAAACTCTCTAGAACAATAAAAAGAATAATTAAATGGAATTACTTCACAATTGAACTTTCTGCAGTGATGAAATGTTCTGTGTCTATATTTTGCAGTATGGTAACCAATAGCAGAAAACTTCAAAAGAAGGTGGAAGGAATACACAGAGTCATTGTACCAAAAAGAAATCATTGATGTTCTATCATTTCGATATATAGCTTGTGAGTAAGAGCCAATGATACTCAAAGAAGAACGCAAATGTGGGCTAAAGGCATTGGCAAAGAACAAGGTTCTGGGAATTCATGGACTACAAATTGAAATATTTCAACAAACTGATGTAGCACTGGAGGCACTCACTCATCTATATCAAGAAATTTGGAAGACAACTACCTGACCAAATAATTTGAAGAGCTCCATATCTGTGCCCATTTCAAAAAGAGGTGACCCATGGGAATGTGGAAATCATCAGACAGTATCATTTAATATCACATGCAAGTAAAATTTTGCTAACGATAATTTTTAAATGACTGTAACAGTACATTGCCAGGGAACTGCTAGAGGTTCAGGCCAGATTCAAATGAGTATGTGGAAAAAGGGATATCATTCCTGACATCAAATGGATATTGGCCAAAAACAGATAATATCAGGAAAAAAATGTGTATCTGAGCTTTATTGATTATTCAAAGGCTTTCAATTGTATGGATCATGACAAGCTATGGAAAACATTCCAGAAAATGAGTATTCCAGAACACTTCATCGTGCTCACGAGGAACCTTTACGTAGACTAAGAGGCAGTTTTAGAAAAGAACAAGGAACACTGAATGGTTTAAAATTAGGAAAGCTGTGCACCAGGATTGTGTTCTTTCACCATACTTATTCAACCTGTATACTGAGCACATAATCTGAGAAGCTGGATTATATGAAGAAGAACATGGCATCATGATTGGAGGGAGACTCAGAGCATAGTGGTTACAAATCGGGCTACAAACCGCAAGTTCAGCAGTTCAAAACTACCAGCTGTTCAGCAGGAGAAAGATGAGGCTTTCTGCTCCCATAAAAATTTACAGCCTCGGAAACCCTGTACAGAGTTGCTATGAGTCAGAACCAACTCCATGGCACATAACCATCAACCATATGTGTAGTGGTTACAAATCGGGCTGCTAGCCTCAGGGTCAGCAGTTTGAAACTACCTGCTGTTCCAAGGGAGAAAGATGAGGCTTTCTGCTCCCGTAAAGATTTACAGCCTCGGTCTTTCTCCCATGGGAAAGCTGGTAGTTTCGAACTGCTGATCCTGAGGTTAGCAGCCCGATTTGTAACCATTACGCTACCAGTGCTGGGGAGTGTAATCATTGCAATGAAACGAAATAGGATGGGATGAGTGTAAAACTGATGTTCTCCCATGTAAACTATCACTCAATTAACAATAAGAGTTTAAAAAAAAAAAAGATGTACAGCCTCAGAAACCCTGTATGGGGTCACTATGAGTCGGAATGGACTCCACGGCACATAAGAACATACGCTGATGATACAACCTTGCTTGCTGAAAGCGAAGACTTAAAATACTTAACTGGTGAAGATGAAAGCCTTTGGTATGGGTTGTACCTCCATGTAAAGAAAACACAAATTCTCACCACTGGACCAATAAATAACATCATGAAAATACTGAAGTTATCAAAAACTTCATTTTGCTTGGATTCACAATAATCACATATTAAAACTGTAGTCAAGAAATCAAATGAAGTATTGCACTAGGCAAATCTGCTACACAACATATCTTTAAAGCTTTCAAGAGCAAAGATGTCAGTTTGAGGACTAAAGGACTCCTGACCCAAACCATGCTGTTTTCAATAGCCTTATATGCATGTAAAGCGTAGTGGTTACGAATCGGGCTGCGAACCTTAAGGTCAGCGGTTCGAAACTACCAGCCGCTCCGCGGGAGAAAGATGAGGCTTTCTACTCCCGTAAAGATTTACACCCTCGGAAACCCTGTACAGGGTCGCTATGGGTCGGACCCGACTCGATGGCACTTAACAACAACAACATATGCATGTAAAAGGTGGACAATGACTAGGGAAGACCTTAGAAGAATTGATGCATTTGAATACTGGTGTTGGAGGAGGATATTAAAGGTACCATGGACTGCCAGAAGAACTAACAAATTTGTGTTGAAAGAAGTACAGCCAGAATGCTCCTTAGAAGCCAAGATGGCCAGGCTTCATCTGTCATACTTCCGACATATTATCAGGAGGTACCAGTCCCTGGAGAAGGACATCATACTTGGTAAAGTGAAAGGACAGTGAAAAAGAGAGTTCACTAACAAGATGGATTGGCAGGGTGGCAGCAAAAATGGACTGAAGTGTAGCAGTACTTGTGAAGATGTGGCAGGTCTGGGCAGTGTCTCATTTTCTGGTTGGGGTCTATGATATGGAACCCACTTGACAGTAAACAACACGTCACATGTGTCTGTTTAGCAGTGGGAATGTGGCTACTGCTACTAAAGAATTCAATTTTAAATAATTTCCATTTAACTATAATTAATTTTCATTCTAATACCCACACATTGCTGTGATTGTTATTTTGTGCCATTGAGTTGATTTCTGACCCATAGTAACCCAATGAGACAGCCTAGAACTACCCCATAGGATTTTCTAGGTTGTGATCTCTACAGAGATCACCAGGTCTTTTCTCCTATAGAGCTGTGGGTGGGTTCCAACACCAACCTTTCAGTTAGCAGCCAAGCATTTAACTGTTGTGCCCCTGAGGCTCCTTTATAACTATCAGTTGGAGAGTGCATCTGTAGAAAACCTCTGACCAAAGCTGATTTTAGACCTAGCCCACAGTTCCTGTAGACCAGAATTACTGCCATCATACTGAACTATCCCCAAGCAACCTCTGGATGAAGCAATGGCCTCTGACCCAGCAGGCCCATCTTCTCACAGCTGGGCATCACCATGACCAGATCAAGACAACATGAGATTTCTGTGGCTTCAGTCCTTGCATTTACTCTAAAAGGAGTTTATTGGAGACATTCTAGATTCCTGAGACTGGCATCTTCCAGGCAGCTACCAGGGAGCCCAAGAGACAGAGGTTCAGCTGCCCTAGCTCCCTCCCTCAGCTGATACGCAAACCAAAGGAGGGTGTGTTTCATTTCATTTTTCCTTTTCTTTTTTGGCTGCTTTAGAGCCATTGGTAAACACAGAATCACCAGGGGAGGGATTTTGAAAACTGGAGCCCCCCTCCTCTCTGATTACAGCTAAGTAGTTCAGGGAGGGGAGCTGGACTCCCACTGGGTCTGTTGGATCAGGTAGAAGATATATTACTACCTAATTACCACACTCCTCCCAAGAAAACAATGGTAATTGTTCTAAACACCTCTCCACTTACAGCCCTGCCTGACTGAGAAGAACTGGTATTAGGATCTGTTTCTCTGTGGAGAACATAACCTATTGGGAATAACAAACATCAACATGAGGGAACAAACAGCTCACCCTTGCACCTCACCTTCACCTTTCTGTCCCTCAGCTTCTCTGAAAAGCAGGAAGCGAAAGCTATTAGGAATCTTGATTAAATAAGTAAGTCTCAAAGGTGGCCTTTGTGCCTGGAAGCATGACAACAGACCAACCCCGTAGCCTGAAGAACAACCGGAACTCAGTCATTGATGGTGGTGGAACAAGATGATGAACTAGAGTCAAAAACAACTTCCTTTATCCACCAGGTTGACCTGTTTCGCACTCCAGATGTTTTCATCAAGGCTACGAAGATGATTACCATCATAGCATCTGGAGCAAGCCTGGTGGTGTGTGCCCTCGTCAATGCTGAGTCATGTTAACCCTGTGGGACAGAATACAACAGCCCAATAGGAATTCCTAGGCTGCCATCATTAGGGGGAGCAGATAGATGACCAGCTCTTTTCTCCAAGGATCTGCATTCTATCGTGACACTGCTGAGTATTTACCACATGACTTGAACAAAGGTCTTAGCAACTTTAAGCCTCAGTTTCATCTGTAAAATGGAGATAACATTGTACCTCCTTATAGGGTTGTTGTCAAGATTCAATGAGGTAATCTCTAAAATACATTTAGTATTTTAGTACATCAGCCAATGTGTGAGGGCCGTTAAAAGTTCATGGAAAATAGAATTAAAAGGTAATTACATATTTCCACAAACCTTTTGAAGTCCCTCATATACCAATTATTATACTATTAGTAATAAAATCACATTACAATACATTCAATATATATTTAAAATTAAGATTTCATCACTCCAAAAGCAATCAGTGCTATCCCATTGTCTCAGCTCAGTTCTCTGAAGTAATAAAGCATTATAAATGCATTAAATAAGTCAATAGAATTTAGCTCATTGTGTCTCACTTTATTTCTAGGTCATGAGGGTCGAATTGGCATGGCCTCTATCAAGATAAAGGAAGACTATGAATTTGATGGGAAAAAACTCTTTAAGCACATTGCTGATTACCTGCCTTCTTATGCAAGACCCAGGTTTCTAAGAATACAGGTGAGACCTTGTTCCAGCATCCCTCATCTCTGAGCCAATTACTCCCCTCCTACCCTGACAACCACAATTGCCACATTGTTCACTACTCTTTCCAGGCAGCTCAGAAAGAAGTGTCCTTGATCAGTAAGAAAAAAAGAAATATATCACTAGTAGAAACCCATTCCTGATTCCTTTCTCCCTAAAACGACAGACCAGATCATTCAGCAACCGTCTTAGCAAGTCGCTCCCTCAGTCTGTGTTTGATGAGCTATGACAGACACTTACAAGAGAAATACTCTGACTCTGATCTTTGTTGTTTCCAGTTTGAAAGAATGGAAAAATCCATCCAGGTCTTACCTAACTGGGCATCATTAGTCAGGTGAAAGTACCCAGGCTTAACTATCATCACTGGGGGTGTTGTTTGTCTTTCTCAAACATTAACCCTCCCACTTTTGGGCTCAGTTGAACACTCCCACTTTCAGACTTTGAGCTCTGTGGTTCTGTAACTGTTGATAGTCATAAAGCACTGGCAGAGATACATGAAATACCCTCAGATCATCATCTATTAATTGGAGGAGAGACCATTCTTCAGTGTAACAGATAAACAAGTTGAGAACTCAAGAGTTGTCTGTGTAGGTGGTTCCCGCCTCCACCATTAATGAGGGTATTTCAGTAATAAGTGAAACTGTCCAGAACAACAGGAGCTACCTCTCTGTAGGAAATGGGCTCACACAAATAGTTCACTGTTGGCAACCCCTCACTCTGTGAGAGTGATTTTAAAGCTTTGAGGAAATGAAAAGTACCTCCCCAGTAGCCCCTGAGTGGAGATTCTGAAAACAGACTTGATCAGAATCATAGAAAATGTTCCCTTTCATAGCTATCGGGTGCTCCAGACAGAGCCCTCTTGGTGCAGTGGTTACACACTTGGCTGTAACCAGTAGGTCGGCGATTGAACCCCCACCTGCTGCATGGGAGAAAGTTCTGGCAATCGCTCCTACAAAGATGACAGCCTAGGAAACCCTAAGGGACAGTTCTAGTCTGTCCTAAAGAGTCTCCGTGAGTCTCAATGTCCTCAACAGCACACAACAACAAATGGACTGCCATTGTCACTACCTCCTTGTGCTGCACCCTAATCTGTTTGCAAATACTACCACCATGTGGATTGTTGCATGTTTTTCAGGACACCATTGAGATCACTGGAACTTTCAAGCATCGCAAAGTGACCCTCGTGGAGGAGGGCTTTAACCCTGCAGTCATCAAAGATTCTTTGTATTTCTTGGATGACCAAGCAAAAATGTATGTGCCTATGACTGAGGACATTTATAAGGCCATAAATGAGAAAACTCTGAAACTCTGACTTTCTAGGAGGATAACTCATAATATTCCCAGAAAGATATGGAAGGTGCCTGGGACAGCCCCTTGATGAAATTTAAGTTTGAATGAAGATTGTGAAGTACAATTTTTTTGTAGGAAGTTATATCTACTGATTTTTTCAATTATACCTGAACCTTTGTGAGTGAAAAGACTTAGAGAGAATTATTTTTCAATTAGCCTTACTGTTTGTATTTTCCCACTGAGCCTGTTGGAAGGAGGACACTATTTTTTTAAATACGTAATAAAATAGGTGAGCACGATTCATGAGGTGGCACTGTTTCTCGTATTCTTTCCTGAAGCTAAATTCAAACCCTGTGACAGCCACTCTAGAGTCCAACAGCCTCACTGGTCACGTTCCACAAGTGTCTCTCTCACGGTAGTAATGGTATTCTAGGTAACGAGAGGAGTGGATCACCAATGGAAATTCAGCTCCCACCCACAAGCATCCCGGCCATCATGTAAACACAGCATTAACCCACAGGAGATAAAGCCATCTGTAGTGACTGCCCTTGTAGGAGCTGTAAATCTATAACATCAGAGTGCTACATATAACAAGTGTTCAGAAAACATGTTTTAGCTTCATCAGAGACTGCACACGCACAAATCTTCAAGATTATGTAGGGAATATTGATGAGAGAAACCGGTCACAAATGAAGATGGCAAACTGGGGGACAACCACTACTCAGCTCTTTCAGGCAGTTGATTTGGGGGCACCACAGGTCAGTTACTAGCAGATCTTCTTACTATTCAGAAAATAAAAATCCAGATATTTATGAGAACTTCCCAATGTTTAAAATGGTAAATACCAGCAGTTTTTAAAACTACATAGACTGACTACTACAAGAACAAACAAGTTGCTCACCTAAGAGACATCAAGGCAAGTGGCTGGGTCCCCTCAGGGCAAATCCCCTTCCAAGACTAAGACTTAAGAGGAATACATAAGCAGGCATGCTGTCTGACTGGTGACCACATTGGTCACCAATAAGGGGAAGTGAGGGAAAAACAGCAATGAAGCTGTGAGCTAAGTCCGACCACGTTCAATAGACTCCTGTGAACCCAGGTGGAGACCTGGTTGGCCAACAGTATGGCAAGATCTGGGGACTCCTGGGCCCAGAGACAAGTGACATAGCAACAAAGGACTAGAGCGGAGAGTGAAGCGCCCAGCTGATAATAAGTGAGAGGATTTTCACAAGAACACCCACACTTGCAGATAATACCCACTTGACCTGGCTTCAATAGCTGTATGATCAAAACTCGACTAGAAGAAGAAAGAAAAGGGGAAAAAAAGTAATCTGATACAATTTGATGAACTTGACCTACACCTATGGATGCAGTAGCTCAAAAGAGGGAACAAATCTTTACAGCGAGTATCATTCCCACCCCCTCCATACACAGGGTAGACAGGGATGGACAACTTGGACATTAGCTACCCAAAATGGGAGGGGGCTACAAAGGCAAGAAGTGACTGGCTTACAAGCTATCAAGAAGGAGCCTAGATCCAGAGGGTGTGGAGGAAGGTAGCATCTCCACTGAGTAGTATCCAATCTGTCTGAGCAGGGCTGATGAAAGGAGATAGGAATAGGTCTCTTGTGGTACAATAGTGAATAATTGCTATCAGGACTGACAGTGAGGGTTGGAAATGTAAAGGTAGACGTTTTTTAGCAAAAGGAGGGGAGTGGTTGACTTTGCAGTCCAGGAGGGGAGGTCCCTGGGACCATCAAGGGACAAGAGCAGAGTATGGGACCCTACCCAGAGAAACAGGGACATCAGAGATGGAGGCAGAGACCGTGACATGGAGAGATGGAGTGGCTGGGGACTCTAGACCCAGAGAGGGAGAGGGGCTGTGTGCTGTCGACTGGGGGGGCAGGCTTGCAGGGTATACCCTCTGGTTGATGATGCATGGAGGGGATTGTAATCATGTACAAAACGATGTACGATAGTATGAATGTAAAGTTAATGTTCTCCCTTGTAAACTATCACATAATTCACAATAAAAACTTATTTAAAAAAATACTATACATACATGGTTAATAAAATATACCTTGGAACAGGTAAATCCCTGATCTCCCATGAACACTACCACCACCACCACCACCCCTGAATCCTGCCTGGCTTGGGCAGTGCCACACGCTCCTTAGACCTGAGCTGGTTTCACATCACAGTCAGTCTGCTGCCTACAGAAGTCTGTTCAAGGGCCTGGGCCATTTCCCAAGGCACAGGAGGTTATGAGGACTTTTCTGAAGGCAGATCGTTCAGACAGACTCTGTGCACTCAGCTCCCTGCCTTCCTGTGCACAACTCTTTTACCTCTGTATGTGTCGACTACAACGAGAGTTCCCAGGAGCAGGTACCTGGAGGCAGCACTCAAGACACGTCCTTACGTAGAGCTGGTCTTGGCCATAGGACCAAGTCTACATCCCAAAAGGGTGACCCTGAACCTTTGTGAGTGAAAAGATTTAGAGAGTGAGTGAAAAGATCCAGAAGTAGTGGAGCTTCCTTCCCCTAGAGGACTTGTAGAGTTGCTCAGAGAGCTGACTGGACCAGTTCTCCTACGAAGTAGCCCCCATTAGGCCCCAGCAAACATATCCAGGGATCCTCATTGATAGACGATATGAGTCACAATTACACCTACAACATGGCGCTAAGATTTATTTTTTTTTCCTTTTAGTATGGGTATCTTTTCTTAAGCTTTTACAATAATGGTCTTGTGCAATATTTGTCCTTTTGTGACTGACTAATTTCACTCAGCATAATGATTTCAAGGTTCATCCATGTTATGTGGTGGCTTGCAGCTTCCTTGTTATTCTACAAGATAGCATAGTATTCCATTGTGTGTATGGACCAGTTTGTTTATCCATTCTTCCGTTGATGGGCACTTAGGCTGTTGCCATCTTTCTCCTATAGTGAATAGTGCTGCTGGGAACATTGGTGTGGCACCAAGATTACAAAAGAAGAAACAGAAAAACTCTCTTCACTCTTTCAGTTGACTTTGAAAAAATAACAACGAGAATCCCTGCCTCCACTTGTATGTCTAACAATACAAATTCTCAGAGCCTGATTGTAATAACATTCTGAAAGACTGTCTAAAGAACACTGAATATTTCTGCTTCTTGACAATATAGCCAGGAATTTACAACTACTATTGCTTGTTGTAGGAGCTCTGGTAGCATAGTGGTTAAGTAGCAAAGTCAGGCTGCTAACCTCAGTGCAGTTTTCCATTTTCTTAAAACTTTTTCATAATAAGCCCCATGGTTGTTTTGGGTCCTTTGAGAATATCTATCAAGGTCACCCCCTTTGAAATCTGCCCCCAAAACAGTCCACAGAACCTTCTGAGCTGGCCTCTCCACCTTGAATGTAACTGGCCCAGCACTCCCCTCAGAAGTCACTGTTTTCACTGGATCTTTTTAGTTTCTCTGGACCAAATTGGTAAATCTGATACTCATCCTAGTTACTGTTTGTTCCATAAAATCATGCTAATTATCTTTGATATTGCTTAAAAGACTGATTGGAAGATCAGTTCTTTGAGCTACTTGATCTTCAGCTAGGTGAAGGAAGGGCAAATCATTAACTAGAGAATGGTGGGCTGGTGGTCATGTGGCACTGAGTCGATTCTACCTCATAATGATTCTGTATGGCATTTCTGAAGTTATAATTCTTTACAGGATCCGAAAGCCTCATCTTTGCCACGCTGAGTGACTGGTAGACTTGAACTACTGACCTTTAGGTTAGCATCCCAGCTCATAATCCACTATACAACCAGGGCTCCTTAACTAGAGAATAAATACATACTGACTTAGGTGATGGGAAAGACAACATGCAGTAGGGGAAAGTCAGCACAAAATGATAGAGGCCAAGGATGACAGTAGGAGGGGCACAAAAGTACAGGCAACAAAGCTGAGGACTGTTCCCCTCCTAATCCTGCAATAGAAGATAGAACAGTGCTGCACAAATGGACACTTAGAGAGACAAACAAGCTGAACAGTTTAGGGAAGACAAATGACATGTATAGGTTTGACAGAGGATATTTCTACATATAAATTTATGTGTGCTGCAATTACATTCATGAATAATCATACAGCATACAGGGAACAAGGTTACATCAACTTCTTAGCCATAAATCAGGGTCAACTGACATCAAGGTCAACTAGCAAAAGAGAGTTCACAAAGACAGTGTTCAGCCTCCTACTTTGGTGAGTATCAACTGATCATAAAAGTTTGTGGGTCAACTTGTAAGGAGCAACTATTGCTCTCATTCATCCAGAACAAAGAAGAGCAAAAAAAATTAAAGACACAAGAAAATAATTCATCCAAAGTGTCAATGGACCATGCAATCCCCAGCTCAGCAACCCTGAAACCAGGAGAATGAGATGATGCCTGCCTACCACTGCCACCTGCTTTGAAAGGAATCACATTAGAAGTCCTGGTTAGAGTGGTATTCTCTGCTTTCAGCCAAGATCCATCAGACATCAGCTATGATATCCCTTGTTCCACAGCCTTATCTGAATCTGGCTTCAACCTCAGGAAGTTTTCTGTAAAGAAAACAAAAATCCTCACCACTGGACCAATAAACACCATTCTTATCAGTGGAGAAAAGATTGAAGTTGTCAAGGACTTCATTCTTTTTGGATCAACTATCAACACTCATGGAAGCAGCAGTCAGGAAATTAAACAACGTATTGCATTTGGCAATTCTGCTGCACAAGACCTTTTTAAAGTGTTGAAGAGCAAAGATGCCAGCTGGAAGACTAAGGTGCGCCTGACCTAAGCCATGATATTTTCAATAACTTCATATGCATGTGAAAGCTGGACAGTGAATAAGGAAGACCATAGAAGAATTGATGCTTTTTAGGTATGGTGTTGGAGGAGAATATTGAAAGTGCCATGGGCTGCCAAAAGAACCAACAGATCGGTGTTGGAAGAAGTGCAGCCAGAGTGCTCCTTGGAGGCCAGGATGCCCAAACTTTGTCTCTCATACTTCAGACATATTGTTGGGAAGGACCAGTTGCTAGAGAAGGATATCATGTTCGGTAGGGTGGGGGGGTCGGAGAAAAAGAGGAAGACACCCAACGATTTGGATTG